TATATACATATTTCATCTAATTCGTTTGATAAATTTATAAGGTGTATGGGAATTTCATTAAAAAATAATGGGATTTTAATATAATATCTCTGACATTTAGCACTGGCGTAAAGAGGATACTGGAAGGTGAAATTAAGCCCGCGGCTTCCAAAGCCGAAGAGGGTAAACTTCAAGTCAGGTATACCACAGTTCCACTGACTCCCGAGACTAAATACTCTGTACTCGAAACGGATTACGATTCGTACGCTGTTTTATGGAGCTGTCAAGGTATTGGCCCGGTCCACGCACAAAATGCATGGGTCATGACGAGAGAACGAGTACCGTCCGGAAAAGTGCTTCAAAAGGTAAAAGCTTAATAAAATAAAAATCAAATTTTAAGAAAAATCCTATATTCGGGCGAAGTGGATCTTGGTTCAATATAAATTTCTCGCGTGAATTTACATATTGGATTGTCCGGAAAGTTCGTGCCGATTTTGAAGAAAAATTGAAACGCAGAAGATTTAAATTTTAGTATACATTTATTAAATTATATAGGTTAGTCGGCACGAACTTTCCGGACAACCCAATATATTCTGATTTCGCATATTGCGTTTCACATATTGTTTTTCCGCATTCATAAGAACCATAATAGTAATATTACTTATTAAATTGTATAAGCAATTACTAACAAAAAATTAAGTACTAATAATTTTTTTGATGCTAATAGACATTTTTTAGAGAAGAATATTAATTGTCATATGCTGATGAAATCTAAAAACTGCGAATAATTTATTGCGAAAAATATTATCTTTGTTTGTATTTTAAAATACAAAATTAATTAAAAAATTGTTACAAATATTACATTCTTTGCAATAAATAATTAAAAAATTATATTTTAATAGAATTCAAATTAAAATGTCCAATTATTAAATTTAAATGAATTACAAAGTAAATTAGTTTATATTAAGACATAATAATATATTTTGAGTTTTAATATATTCAGGATTTACGGCCGAGAATATAAAAAAATAAAAATTATTAATATAAAATAAAATAACAAGTTTTACGTTTGAAAATTATTAATACAGTTATTATAATACATATTCTAGAATCTTCTTATCATCACTATAAAAGTTTAAAATCTCTTTTTTTCGATTCCAGGCTTATGGCGTTCTTGATAAATACAAAATATCGAAAACGTTCTTCGTGAAAACCGATCAAGCGGAATGTGCCTATTTGGATTCGACAACGGAGGAGTCTGAGGAGCCTGAGCAGGCAAAGCCAGAGAAGTCGGAGAAGCGAAAACAGAGACCACAACCAATTGAGCCGAATGAGAGTTCCAGATCATCCGTCGCTCTGAATGATGCCGATACTGAGATAAAGGAGAAGGAGGAATCAACAGCCGGGATTATGGGCGAGAAAGCGCTCTCCGATATTCCGAAGATAATAGCGGAGGAACCCGTAAAGCTCGAGCAGCCCATCGAAACTGTTCCCGAACGGATCTTGAAGTTAGCAGAGACGATAAAGGAGGAGAGTGACGACACAAGGGATAAAATGATCATTGTCGAGGTCAGGGAGGAGAACATCGCGGAAAATACAAAGGAGGAAAAAAGCGAACATTCGAAAAAACCAGAAGCAATTGCCTAGAAGTATTATTTAGCAAAAAAAGTCTGTTAGTTGGCGCTAGCAGGGATGTATTCCTGGGGATTTTCGATGTCTTAGGCTCGTAGCGGTTTCCTCATTGAGAACCAGTCTCGCTTAAGTACCGTAAAATCATTAATCACTTGTTCCATCGACATGCTGTCGTTCTACGTTGTCGTTTGAGGACATAGGGTTGACACGGCGCTTTGTTTTATAGGCTTACGTACAAATGTAAAAAAAAAAAAGAAAAGAAACAAAGATAAATAAAATTGTTATAAAAAATGTCTTAATAAAACGTACCCATTTGTTTATTATTTCCATTTCATTATACAGATATGATGATATGCATGTCAAATTAATTACTGATTACTGTAACGTAATTTATAAATTATAAATTAATACACAGAATTATATCTGATTAATGGAAAATAATATTTGATCAATAAGACGTACTACTTTATTTAAAAAAAACTTCATTTTTCTTTAAAATTTTTCTACAATAATTTACTACGATAAGTTATGTGCTGTGAGTAATATAATCATATAATAAGAGAGAAAATGCACTTCTTAAACTCTTGGAAAGTCTTTTTAGCTTTCGCATCACGAAACGTGGTACCAGTAAAAGCTAAATGTGTCATAGTATTTTTTACATAAACATAAATACATAAGCAGGTCACATAACGGATACATTTTTCATATCATCATTAATAGTTCAATCTTTGATAATAATCATATCAATTTAAAACTACCACTTACAAACACTGATGAGATCTTAAATATTAGAAGAACGATTAAGTAAATGTTTCATCTGTATTCAACTCTGAATACAGATGAAGAAATAAAAAAACTTAAATACTTTTCTTTAGATATATAAAGAATATTCAAAAGAAAGTTTCTTTATATATCTAAATGCAAGAAAAATATTTATATAATGCAAAATATAATGCAAAAATATTTTTTTCCAAATTTACTTTTCTTCTCAAATGTATATTTCTTGATTAATGAATTAATCAAGAAATATACATTTTTCTTTATAGAATGAATTAAGATTAGTACATAAATACCCTATAGATACTTTTTTATTCCTGTAGTGCATAATACTTAAAACGAAAATATATTCACTATATATATAACGTAATCGATTTATCACAAACATATTTACTATTAAAATATTCTCCTTTTAAATTATTCTATCTATCTATTAACGTATTCATTTCGTATCTGATTTATTAGTCATTACTGCAAAATCTATTCACAAACGAGCAATTATCAAAAGTGGTCCATCGCATCTGATCATGAAATGGTCCACGTGCCTCTGAATCTGTTGATCATCTATTGGTCAATGGCAAATTCAAGCCGGGTTTCTTGAACCCCGAACGTACCGTTACTGACCCACTAACTGTCAGTACTCTGCCAAACATATCCAGTCAACCTTCGCGGGTTCGTCTCCGACGAAGCGAATCGCGGAGCAGGAAGTTCAGTCACCTACGAACGATCCATCGTATGAGAAGTAATCCTCAGCGCTAATCCTTGTCAAAATTGTCTCGAAAAAACTGATATTCGACGGTCAAAGCTATCAGGTGAGTGCTGTATTTAGAGTGCCATGAAATTGTATTGCCGATATCGCATTCAAGTTGTTTCTCTTTGCCCTTTCTACTTTGATCGAATTTCCTAACAATAAATTGCTTGCTGAACTACTTGTGCAAATATAAACTTCTTGTCAGGTAAGTTAAAGAGATCAGAGAATTAGAAATCAGGCCGCTTGAACTTAAATAATTCACGTGTAATATTTTCGCATAACAGTTTGACTTGTATTTAATATTTTCATATCAAGGAATATTCATATCAATGAATTTCAAATTGCTAGTACAATAAAAAAAGAATGCTGATATTCGAAATAATTGTTATTTCATTCTTAATCCTTGTAGTATATAAAAGCGAAATCAACACAGATTATGCAATATAAGTGATAAAAGTCCAACAAGTAAAGTACGTTCATAAACATTATAAAGTATGCCACGCAGAACAGTGTTGCATTATGATATCATCAATTTAGAAACTAATGTCCGCGATAATGCAATATAAAAGAGCACACGCTCGTTTCTCTTCATTTTCTTGAGTATTTCGAAGTTAGTAACTATGTACTTTGAAAACACGAAAGGAGCACAAAGAAATATCTTCGAAGCATCAAAGTTGATGGTTTGACAATATTTTACAAACTTGGTTTGTAAAATAAGTTCTTTAAGTGGTGCATCATTACACGATAATATACCTTGTGTTGTTGTAACGGTGATTATTATAACGGAAGAATTTTCTATGATCACTGGCATTCCAGTATGTATAGGAAGTTTCATTAATATTTCAACATAAACAATTTTGTCTAAAATAAGATTAACATTATCTTTGTTTGATCTTTGTTTGATCTTCTAAATTAATGTTTCTGCATGTGCAAGTGCATATATATGCGCGTAATAAGTAAAAGATTTTACTTATTTGATTTCTTCATATAATTATATAATTTGAATTTTATTTCAATAAAAATCCGACAAACTTATTATTGTTATACATTAAAATTCTTAAATTTTTAACATATTTTACATACATACTTATACATACGTATACATACTTATACATACCTATACATACCTATACATACCTATACATACCTTTAAAAAATGGAATAAATATTTTCTGTTCTTTTTTCAGAAAAGAATATGTTACGGATATTTGTAATTGTTATCATCGCAAATGCAGCGATGGCGCAGGTGCCATTTTTGGGTACATGTCCAAACTTGGAAGCAATGCAAAATTTCGAACTTGAAAGAGTGAGTACAGAACAATTATTTTGACTTATACTTAATATTAAAATAAAGTATATACAACATAAAGTATATAAAACAATCCTTCTTCTTGTGCATTTAAATCAAAAGTACTCTAAACTCTACTCTTTGGAATAGAATCTCACTTCAAAAAGTGAAAATTGACCCAATTTTGGGTTTCAATTTTTAAGAATGAGATTTCACTCTTTAGAGTAAGATTCATATAAAAGTTTTAGAGAGTTATTACAGATTTTTTTTCTAGTATTTGGGCAAATGGTACGAAGTCGAGAGATATTTTGCGTGGTTTGAATTTGGTGGAAAATGTGTGACAGCTAATTACAGTCTGAATGAAAATGCTTCGGTGAAAATCCTGAATAAACAAATTTCTTCATTGTGAGTATAATAGTACCTGATACTCATCAAGTAATTTTAAGTCATTAAAAAAGCAAGAAAAACAGTGATATAAGAATGATATCATCGTCAACTGACAATTATCTACTTAAAGTAAAGCTCTATTCTCTTGCATAGAACTGGAGTCGCAACGAGTATCGAGGGCATTGCAAGGTTAATTGGTAGATCCGATGATCCTAAATTGACCGTCACTTTTCCATCCTTGCCACTGCCATTCGATGCACCTTATTGGGTTCTAGACACAGACTACATATCCTATGCCGTAATATGGAGTTGTACAAATCTCGGAGTTCTTAAGTAAGTTTGCATGTGACAAGATTGCGGGAAAATATATAATAAGTATAAGCATTAATATAAAATAAGCATTTTTTGCCCGATACAAAGTTAGTTGATTGCAATAAATCTTTCCTGTGCCTTTATTATTAAATATTAATTTTACATTTTATGCTGCTAAATAAGTAGAAAAAAATTTTAATTTCTTAATGCATTCGTGTTCATGTTTTAAAGGCATATTTTTCTATCTGAAAAATCTTCTATTCTAGAGATATTAGATTAGAAATTAGATTGAACAGACTTTTACTGGATTACTAAAACTATAATGTGTTTTTGCAGTGTACGAAACGTTTGGATTTTAACACGAGAACCAAAACCGTCAGTCGCAGTTGTAGAAAAGGCTTATCAAATTATCGACAAGAATAACATCAGCAGAGCGTATTTTATTCGTACAGATCAAAAAAATTGTCCGGTTACGAATTAAGAACGACCTCTACATGGATGTACAGAAATATGCTCGAAGAAAAATTTTTTTTGCGATGCAATTTTATGTAAGACTTCTTGAATTACAAATTTATTTATGCCAGCAGATGCTGATTTTACTGGCTATTGTGCAAGTATTATGATTGTGCAAGTATTATGATTGCGGATGTACTTAAATTAATAGAATTGTTACGAATATTTATTTTATATTCGAAATTAAAATATTATGTAGTTATAATGTTTAAAAAGTTGTATTTTTCTGTCTTTCTATATTTGTTTCTTTCTTGTGACTGTGATTTTTAATGGAATATGAAAAATTGAATATATTGTTTCATAACAATGAAACATAATTTAAATTTTAATTCCATTTATTTTGAACAAATTGAATTTAAAACATTTTGAATATATTATCGTCAGTACAAATATATAATGAGGATAATTATATTGATGCATTTGACGTTTTGACTGCGAGATATAAATTTATATATTAGTTAGTTTATATACTAACTGATCTGTTTGTTATCTGCTTAGAAATAGAAATAAAAGAAATATTTATAAAATAAAAGAAGATAAAAGAATATTTTAAAAATATATGTATAATATAATATATATTAGTATAAATATATATTAGTATAAATTTGAAAATTTTATAGAATATTATTTTTTAAGAGATTTGGATCTAAGATTGCTTTATTACGTAACGATTCAAAAATAATTTTTGAAATAAATTTTTCAAAGATAATGTGGCGCTAATAAATAATTTTACGGTCAAAATGTTAAGATACAGATCATCTATACATTTGTATCTCAATATTTACAGCTATCTATTTTTTGTATGTGTTTTTTATATATACTTCATGTTAATCTATTTTATTTGTTATGTATATTTATTCATTTGTTTGAAATATTATGACTCAGATTGGCACCGATAATTTACGTTAATTTTTTAAATTATCATGAAATCTGTGAATAAGTCGTTATTACTTATCAAGTTGAGTAATCATACATATCTCGTTAATTATCTGTTCATCGTGTGTGTGGTAATACATTTTATAATTTTATAATAATTGATTGTTATATTTATGCATTTAAAGAATGTAAAAATGGAAAATTTGGAAAGATAAAATTAATTTTTTTTTCATAACACTGCGACATTATATTAGATCTGTTTATTTTTCACTCCAAGTTCTGAACTGGTGTACACTGATTTAATAAGATAAAATAAAACGGATATAGTTTATTCCACTCTAACTTATTGCACTCGTTTAGAACAAAGACATAGAGAATAAACTATGTAATCCGTATTTAAGAAGGCCATCCACATGTGATCGACAATAATAAGAGAGAAGGAAAACGGCCAATTTTCTTCTCATTCTCTCTTTCATTATATCGTTAAATATAATATCGTAATGGAAAGAGATAAAAATTGGCTCTCTTCCACGATTCCTCTCTCTTACTTTTATCGACTATTTTTGACACACAAATCGCGCAGTCCATTCTCTATGTCTTCAATTTAGAATTAGGTTCAGAACTTAAAAGAACTTTAAAAAGAACAGATCTAAAAACTGCACGTGATGTTCTAAAAATCTAAATATTTATCGACAATTGGTTATGTAGTGTTCTTCGCTGGGCTCGTCGGGCCTCATTTGCTGCACACAGAACTTTATCCGTGACTGCCAAGATTCTTTAGCCAGTAAGATTCCAGCGAGTGCTAGTTCTCAACGAGTGCCAATTTTCGTTGTAAGATCGCGCGATGCACGTCGGAGGAGTCGAAAGTTCGCTTACCACGATCGATGATCAGCCGATAAAAAAAGATTTCGCGAACCAGTTATGAAGATTCAATTATGTAAAAACGATGCAAGAAATATTTAGTCGGCCATTAAGTTATCCGTATAATGATAATTTACGTGTGAGCGAGCATCATCAGCTTTGTAATATCGCATGCATAATACATGTCACGATGGCGGGGTACAGCGTTTATTTATCGTCGGGAAGGGACGCTAATAAATGAATGCGTAAAAAGTTTCATTAATGGGACGGTAAAAGTTCCGCGTGTAATCGATTGCGACGGACACTGCGTTGCAAGCTGCGTGTCGAGTCGCACAAATTCGCACTGTTTGCGATTACGAATATTCGAAATAAAGGGATATCCGATTGAACCGGGTATTCTCCAGTGTCTCCCACGTTAAAAATGCATCAAAAATGATCGTAGACGAAATAAATCGAGCAGCGACTAACGAAATCGCACGCAACAATACCCTTAAATTAAACAAATAACAGCGACGGGGTGTGGTCGCGTGCGAGACGGGTCTTCGGGCATTGTCACGTGCCATCCACGCAAACAGAACACTATTCAATTGCGGATCCTGCAGGATATGTCATCAGGGATGCATTGTGCATCGAGAGAAAGAGGAGTCGCGTGATCCCACGAATCACACCACAAAAAATGTATGGATTTCTTTCTCGCTTGCAACGAGTGTGCGGATCATATAAATTTGAACATAAAGGACTTTAACATTGCGTGTGAATAAATGTATATACCTATACAGGATGTTTCTTAAATAGCAGACACTAATCATATAGCGCTATTCCTAATTAAAAATTAAATCAAAAAGTCCTCTATCATTTTGTAATTTTCGCAATAATTGATTATAGTAACGTTAGTTGTGAAAGAAACATTAATTTCTAAAGATCGCCGAGTAAGTGATTGCCGAATCATATAATGCTAATCCTGATAAAAAATTGAATCAAAAAGTTCTTTACCATTTTGCATTTTTCGTGATAGTTAATAAGTTGAGCAGCTGTTTATTCAGCAACATTTAGAAATTAATATTTCGTCAACCATTGCGAAAATTACAAAATTGTAGAGGACTTTTCAACTCAATTTTTAATTAGAAATAACATATATGATTAGTGTCCGCTATTTAAGACATACTCGTACACACATATATAACATAGTAAATATTTTCTTATTTTAAAAATTTATTTAATACATACAATATTAAATAAATTTTTAAATTTTTAATAAGAAAAATTTAATTTGATCGAAATTGTATGCATAATATAATATATACAGATTAAAATTTAAAAAGTCCATTAAGTTTTTTACAATCTTACAAAATATGTAAAAAAATATAATTAAGTAATCAGAAAGTATTGCGTATGAAATTATAAGTTTAAATTAAAGTTTAAAATTATTTATTTATTTCACGAAACAGAAAGCCTGTTTGTGTACATGAGATGGAGAGGAATTGAAATAATTCGAAGAAATCTTTACTCTTTTAATAAGTATCTGAACGCGCTTAAATTCCTGAATTTTCTCTTTAATACTCCACTACATGAGCTCCTCTTTATGTTCCCTCAGTTCATTTTTCTCTCTTTTTATTCGCATGGGCTAAAAATTGGCGTATTCTCCCAAGCCGAAGACTCGTTTCCGTATAATCGTCGCCATCGCTTGTAATAAATTAAAACGTGGTAGAATCTAAATCAAGATCTAAAGGGAAAGGATCTGCTAGGAGCCAGCGGGACCCCCTTCCAAATTTATTTCGTCGTTCTTTTCTCGAGAACTTCTTTTACGCACGAAATGAAGCAAGGAAGGGAACGATGAGACGAAGGGCGGAAAGGGGGATGTACGATCGGACTCACGGCGGCCAAATCTCCGCGTGGGCCCTACGGTTTTCGAGAGGCATGGGCAGCGGTCCCTAATAACAGGGTATACCGAGGCTAAACAAACATACACGCCCCTGGCATCTCTTGCTGAAAGAGTGCACGGGAAACAAATGGGAAAAAAATGCGCTTTCGACACACCGTGCAACAATTTGAGGATGAAGTATATTTGCTTATTTCGCATAATTTAAAGGAAAACGGATATTCTATCGCGCACCTGCCGGTTGCTTCTGATTCTCTGGTTTTAAAAAGGGAATTCTCGAGGTGAAAATTCGAGCACAAACATTTTGTAGTAGTAGTAGTAGTAGTAGTAGTAGTAGTAGTAGTAGTAATAGTAGTAGTAGTAGTACTATTGCATTATAGTTAAAGCAAATAAACTTTTCTGAATTATTTATAAGGGAATTGTACAATATACTTTGTGATACTTCATTAAGACATTCAAGCCCGATTGCACCAACTTCACTTTGACTTTAAGCGAGATTTAGAACTTTATCTATCTTGTTTTAAAACCAAAGAGATAGAGACAGAAAGAATTTTAAGTCTTGCTTAAAGTAACGTTAGTGCAATCAGACCTTAATCAAACATTGATTTTACATTTAGAAAGCGAAGAATAAAATACTATATAAAATATTATATAATTGATTTACAAATGTTAATTATAAATGCAAGGAACAATATTCTTAATTGGAATTAAAATAAAAATTTATAGATTTGTTCATATTTAATGACCTATTAAGAAAAGATCAGATATTCTAAGTAAAGCGTTCATTTAAAATCTCAAGTAATAAAATCCAATTTCGTTAATAATGAATCTTTCGTATTTCAATTTCACACTTGAACAAATAATTTTTTTTTAATTACGGATTTGTAATTTAAGTAACAGGAATTAAATATAAGAGAGGATATTCTTTAATAACTGAAGCGTGAAGAAGATAATTGGGATCCATTGTAATAAGAAACTAAATGACATCTCGTAAAACTCTATTATATGTAGTCATATAATTGAAGCATATCTTAATACACGCGCCTAGCAATAAGTATTATAATATATCTCATCGTCTGTGTATGCTGATATAATAAGCAACAAAAAAAATGTACCAAACTTTTCTTAAAAAGAAACTGCATGCTCGTTTCTGCAAAAATATCTCGTATTCTGTCAAGACTACGATCGAGATAAAAAAAAGAAGTGCACTGAGCATTCCATTTGGTTTCTTTTCGAAGAGGGATAAACGGTTGTTTGCGTTTCACCTCAGGGTGGTCTACGTCGAAGGATCTACATCATACATAGTTGAATTTAATAACGAACGTTCGGAAGGCATCCTACCGTCTGTAATTTCACCTAAATAATGCATCCCATATAATTAGTCTAAATAGTAGTTCATATTTCTTATTAGCACTACACGTCGTTTCATTATATCGTTGTATAAAAACAACTTAATCTCAGAATCGTGTCTAAAAAACATTACCTACGATATTTTTGTAAAAACATATTATTTACTAATTACAACAGACTGCTTCGAACGCGACTTGTTTCACATGACGAAAGATAATTTCTTTGTGCTGCGTTGCAGCGTTGCATCGAATCGTGTCGCGCGGATTACTCATCGCTTTTTTAATTTAGATGGAAATGTGGAATAAGGTTGGGTGAATATGGAGGCTGTTTCATTTGTCTTTAGATCATGTGAAAGGTTGGTAAGGGGTGCGCGAAACGCGAGAGAACGAAGGTTAAGTAAAAAGTCGCGAAGAAGAAGAAGAAATGCGCGCGGAGAAAGAAGTGCAGGAAGACGATGAAGGAGAAGGAGAGGAAGAAGAAGAAGGCGAGGACGAAGGTAGATGAGACAAGAGGCATTCTGGTTTGTGGGCACAGCCGCTGCCTGCAGCCCACAATTATGATAATAGCCCCTGAGTCCTGAGTCTTGTTAGGCCAACGTGCAGCCCCAGCTCTTTTATCAGTATCTTCTTATTTTCAGACTCGTGCTCCCCTGTCCCTCTTCATACCGTGGCTTCTCCTACTTTCAACCCTTTACGTCCTCGCGAGGTCAGATGGGTTCAAGCTGATCGATTCGCCGACGAAAAACTAAATCCGATATATATCCCATCCTTTCTCGAAGCACTCGCTATTCCGCGTACCGACGATACCAATCGCAAGGCTCCATTCCGAAAGGATTCAAATAACCAAGCTTTATGTCTCTCTCACGAATTCTGCAGTGTATTAAATGTCTTGTTGAAATATGTTATATCATTTAGATATCGGATATATGAAATGAAAAATTTTTTGGTTCGATACTACCTCTCCTTTGTGGCATTTATAAATTTTTTTACTTTAATATCCCTTGGCATTATGAAATAGTTGAACCAAATAGAGAATAACAGCCGCGGGGAATTATCAGCGACTGCTAACATATGTACCTGTGTCTGCAAATGTTGTAAAAGTCGGTAGCAAACGGTGTGCACTTTAATCCATTTTCAGTGCTACCGTCTGGTCTTTTGAGCGCCGCGGAAAGCGTTAATTGGAGGCCGCGCCGCGATCGGGCAAAGAAAGTCTTGCAAAGCGGAAACTGTGTGATAATGCATGAAAGCTCTCTGCCCTTCCTCCTCTCTCTCTATTTTTTTCGCTGCATAGATGAGGATCTCTTGGTATACTCAGTATATGCACGCGTACATCCCGTCGCGTCGACTGTGACGTAAAAGCCGCGGTCCAAAAGTACGCTACCTCATTTCTACTAAAAGCTGTTCCTTGTGAAGCGCATAATCGCGTTTCTTTAATGATGTACTATTACGATGCCTCTCTAGAGAACGAAATTCTCAGAAGAGACGTTCCTGCATCTGAAGATATATTAAAATATCATTGGAGTATCATTGGAATTGATTCGATTACTTTCAGCGCGTAAGTCGCGATATCACGTTGATGAATGAATTCTCTTCTTTGAATGAATTATCTAATTACTATTACACAAGATAAAACGTACTTTACTAAATAAGAGCAAATATATGACATTTACGATATAAAATGTAATGTACATACACAAACTAATCGTAAATTTAAAAAATATGTAAAAAAGTAGTGAATCCCAGGTCTCATGATATTTTCCAGAAGCTACTACTAGGATAAATTCGGCTAAACCGAGAGTTTGGCCGACGACTGCTAGATATACGATTGTTTGTACAGATTAGAACCGACAAAGGGGTCCGTTCTCTCTTCTTGACATTGCCTTGATTTAAACGAAGCGCCCTGTATTTGCAGTAGATTAAACCGCGCTTCGCTGTGCACTGCGGTGTCTTGTTTATGATATCAGCTGTACCGCTTTGGGTAATATTGTATATTGTGCTCACGTGCCGACTAGCATAGACAGATAGACTATCTAAACTTTACTTAGACATAGTCATCAGGATAATTATAATTTACGTTTTTTTCTGAATAGTGTATATAGAATGTATAACTAGGTTTTTATTTCTCATATTATATTAATGAGAAATTTGCAAAAACGATGGAAATTCTTTAGATGATTACATATATTTTATGTAAAAGCAATCTCTAATTAAAAATAGGTATAGCTGTTATCGCTTCGATTACATGTAAAAAAATAGCAATTTATTATATAGCTAGTCACTCTGTAATTAGTTTAATGTAAAAAAAATGAAGGATCATAAAGAATTTTCATTACCATACAACTCTAATTTAGTTTTATTCTTATTATGTTCACGTAAACCCTAATATATTTTTTTAATTTTTAGTAACATGTAATTCGTATACCGGACATTACGATATCGAAACGATGAGCAAACATGCTTTCATCGACGATAAAATATTAAACGGTAACTCATGTAACTGTATAATCGCTGAGATTAAGTTAATAGCTGCACGAGGACGAGATGGACCAAAAGGAAAAGACGTAAGAACCTATCGCACGAATTTAACCATCATTGCATCCACTTGGCCACCATCAAGCCTATTAACAGATAGAATTCTATGTTGCCTGAATCATGCTATACGGTAAGAGAGTAATCACCCGGACTTTTTTCCCTCATTTTTCCTGCCGCAATTATCTCCCGGTTTTTATACCGCACAAGCTTTTCAATCAACCGCGAATTTGCAAAACGAGTCCTGGTACCCTCTCTCGCTCCTCGTTCTCCTGCTCGTACATCGTCCAGTAATAACGGCGTTCGGTAATCAAGCACGTTCTGGTAGACAGGAAGAAGGAGAGGATTCGTAAGACGATCGTGATTCGACGCAGCTACGTGGGCGTTCTTCCTATCCGTCGTCGATCTCGAATTATGTAAATGAACGATGGATATTCCAATTGCCCTCGATTCCTCCGGGATGAAATTCGAGAGCATCTCGTCTTCCATTTTATTCTCTGTATTTTACGCATTTGCAGCGAGCATGCATGCATCTCTTAGCAAAATAAGCCGCTCCCATCGATAATAATAGAAGAGAGGGGAAAAAATGTTGAATAGTATGATTAAATGCGTAGTTCATCGTCAATTTGACATGTCGCGTGTTCACTAGCACACTTATCCACAGTTAGAACGTATGATTTATGATCCTAATTTCTGCATAGCAGTTTTGCACAGATATATAGAGATATAATATAATAATGAAAAATGATTTCGATTATATTAATAGAAATTGATCAACAAGGTTGAACCAGGAAGACCACTAATTTATGAGTTTTTTCTAGAAGTTAATAAATATCTCTTATTTTATAAAATCGTAAAATTATACCAGTTGATATTTATATTTAGTTTATATATATTA